GATCCTAAATGCAGCTGGGCATTGACAAGGTCAGTAAAAGCCTTGCTGCCCTGGGCAGCCATGCACAGGAAGGAGCCCCAGGAGCAGAGAGTGACAACAGCACAGGCTCAGCAGCAAGGACTTGCATCTTCCAGGACCTGAGCAAGATAAAGTCCAGGGATGGCAACCAATGCCATCAAGGGTTCAGTGATTGACAAGCAAGTCCATACTGAGAACAAGCCAGAAAGTCACATCAGCAGATTAAGATCCTGATCACTGACAACAAGCAAAGTTGCAAAATACGTCAGACAATGAACAAGGACAACTGGACTGTTAAATCATAAAAATACTTATGACTCACTTTCGCTGTATGTTTTTAATTCTGGAAAATGACAAAGCAGAAAATGATAAAATTAATAATATAAAATAATAATTATTATTTGTTTTATTTCTAATATAATAGTAGAAATAAAGCAATAGAGAAATAAAGTCCCCAAAATGGGAATCTACATGATTTTCAAAGTAACTTACTATATTCAACTTTATTGTCACTTAGGAAAACTGATGTCGAATTTTGGTTCCAGTATTGTACTCCTGATATGTAGACTTTTGTAGTGATTTTAATTTCTCATAATCATGAACAATCACTTACGCAAACACATTTTTAAGCCTGTGGTTCCTTTTGGCATTTCTGGTAGTTTTCTCCAAGAAGTTGCAATTTCTGAGAAGTCATAATTCAAAGCCTTATATCTGGCATATTTTATTTCTGTAGCCATGCTCTACTCTGATGACCTAATTAGATAAATTTAACAAACCAGTATGCAAACAGTCATGCAAAGCAAGCAATTTTTGTATTTTGATGATGATATTCTTCTTTCCAAGATGTTGTAAAAAATTATTTTAGAGATAACCATAGAAAACAATAAAATAAAAGATTTTAAAGAAAATGTGTGCTATATGACTTGATGTTTTTAGTCTTTTTGCTTGGCCTTCCTTTTCTTCTCCATGTAAAGGCAAAATGGTTTGACTGTGTTATTCATATTAGCACATACTGATGTAATTTTAGTTCTCATTTTACTCTCTATATGGGATTTCTGTGGCCAAAGGTCTTTAGTGGTGTAGGTGGACTGCTTTTGTAGCCTGAAGTGTTGATGTTTCTACTACTAATTGGTTTTCATGTTTACTTCCCCTGAAGTACTTAAGAATGGATTTGTATCATCCATCTCTAAGTAGAGAGGAAATGTTTCAGCATTAACTTTATTACATTTCTAGCTCCTTCCCCAGTACTTGTCCTTACCACCTGCTTGGTTTCATACTGTTTGTTCTCTTTGCCTCTTAATTTAAGCTTGCTAATCATTTGTTAATCAGTTTCAGTGAAGCATCCCTTGCATAAAACCTCATCAGCTACCTCATTTACCAGATCTTATTGAAGTTTCTCCACCTGTTATCACCTGGCTAAACTTCCATTTTGTTTTGTGACTGAGAATGTGGGCAAGGAGATATTCAGTTATGTGACCACTAATAGGAAATAAAAAAAATTAATTTGAATTGGTACAATGAATAAATGTTTCGCCACTTGAAAAAACAGAGTCCAGTTTAAATTACACTTACAGGCATCTGTTTGCTTGCCAGTTTAGCTGGATATGACATTCAGGTACTATAAATGCATGCAAAAGCCAAATAAAATATATGTAATGAAGTATTCAGAAAGACTATCCACTCCAAATAATCTCTAGCATTAGAGGATACAAGGCAAATATGCAATTTAGTACTATTATGTTTATTTGCATTTTAGTTCTTTGGTTAATAATTATTTGTGCTTCTCATCTTACACTGAGACAAGAAATAACCAAGCTATAAAAAAGGTCATAGGTTACAATGTCAATATATAAAATTGTCAGTTTTGCAGAATTCTATAATTTTCTTTGTACAAGACTATTTTTTCCTTTAGGTATAGTTAAGTAAAGTTCTTGAAACAGCTGTGAGATTATTTTTTTAAAGATAAACATTGCACTGCAGACTTGAAAAAGTAGTCCAATGAAAGTTTCATAGGTTTTGTAATATTTTAAAGAGATTAATTTTTGCCTTCTCAAAGTTATTAATTAGAAGATTTAAGCTACTGTGTCATACTCACATGGACAAACTCTACAAGAAATGCAACAGCAATACTACGCAAAAAGGGTAGTTATGTGAGTACAAGAATTTAGTTTTTACAATTTAACCCATCTATTGCAGGAGAGAACTATAATTATCATAAGATTTAATCTCTAAACAACATATTACTCATGAAGACTGTCAATTTCTTGCTGTGGTGAGTGGACCTATTTTTTTGACTCCTCTGCAAAAGCTGAGTAAATGTTTTGCACAGTGCCTTGCCAGTGTATTTTTCACACTCCAGAAATGGGAACAATTTAATTTGCATGGTAGCAGCAGTTTTGGCCCTTTCTTTGAACTATCCTGACAAGTGTAAAATCTCTGTGAGATCGTAGTATCAGAATTGAAACTCACTGAATTTCTCAAAATGCCAGTAAAATAAATCAATTTTTATTTAGATATCTGATTAGATAAGCAAGTTTTTCTCAGAAAAAGACCAGTGTGGAAAATTTCCACAAATGAAAAGTAGTGAAATATCTTATATTCCTACCTAAATTTTAAAGTGTTTGCTTATCTTATCTACCAGAAATGAATTTCAAATTATTCTAATCTGATATCATATATAATTCAGACTATAGAATGATTTTATTATTCCTATATGAAATCCAGCATTCCCTAAGTGCAAAGCCTGTAACTCTACATGTTCAAATTTCATATAAAATATGAATTTCTGTGAGTTCTGCTGGCAACATTCTGCATAAGACTGATTTGTAAAGTTCTTTTCATGAGGTCTACATAGTTATAATCTGTATCTTTACTCTAATGGGCATCTACAATGTCATCTTCCATCAAGACAAATAGTCTTGACTTGCAAGTCAGAGAATTTTTCTCTTAATTCTAGTTAGTTCTGATGGTTAATAACAGTGTCAATTAAAATAAGACTTCCCTAATTTGAATGTGCCTTTCAGCCAGTAATTTTTACATAGTTTTCTCTGCTAGATCAACAAATTCTTTGAAAAAAAAGAAATTCATATGTTGAAGAAGATTTGATCCATTATGTGCAAGACCTTCCAGCTAAATTAATAGAGTCAGTAAAATCTGTCTTAAAATAAGACTTTTTTCCTAGCCCTTCAATTTGTGGTTCTCTTCTTATTATTGTCCATCACTTTTTAAATATGATTCTCATAACTGAATTTCATTCTTCATTTATGTACCATCTTTTTTGTGTGTGTGTGTTTGGTTTTAAATTAAAGACATATTTCTCTTCTTTATTATAGTTCTGTTTATACTTCAGAATACCATATATCCTTGACAGGTCTGTGTTCTTGCTGTGCAATGTCCATTTTGCAGATCACTATTATGTCTTCCTTTATGAGTTAGATCTGAGGGAATTTTTAAAATTTATTTTTTCATTGGTAGTTCAGAATTTAAAATCATGTCAAAATTAATGTTAACACTTAAAGAAGCTGCTTAGATAGATCCAGTGTATTGCTTCTTACATAAAACTCCAGTTGGTCCCCCTTTTTCAAGGTAATTTTGAATACTATGTGCTAATTATTTAAGTCTGTACAACTGCAAATCATGCTTTGGCAACATGTAGGTATATTAAATCTGTAGTTGCCTCTGTCAGTCCAACTTGTAATCTCATTAAAAAAATTAAATCATTTTTATTTTATAAGACCTGTCCTCCATCATGTGTTATTGATTGCATTTATATTCCTCTTAATTTAATTATGTATTGATTGAGTCACATCGGTTTTCCATTCTTCTGCTCAAGGATGATAACATGGTAATCATATATATATATGCATTTAATCTGGGTTCAATCTACTGTCTCCACTGGGACATTATTAACCTCTTATCTTGAGAACTTTCACTTCTGTTCTGCTATTGATGTAGTTTTCTATTAATCACTATTCATAAATAATAAATAGAAGGAAGCTGGACAGAGCCCCTGCTGAATGTTTCTGAGCCTTGTGTTCATTTATGTTATTTAGACCTGCTAATTTAAGAAGTCTTAATAAAGAAAAGAAACAAATGTGAAGAGTGACATTCATACGATTGGTTTTTATTTGCTTAAACATCATCTTTGGGACTTTCGTCAGGATCCTCTGTCCCAAAGAAAACATCTGATTTATGAACAAAATGTGATCACAAGATCTTTGTTACCTTGATCACAGCAGATATACAACAATTATTTAGAGATTGTTGGCATGTTTTTCCAGCTGGTCTCAGATCTCCCTCCTACTTTCCTGTGAGACACAGGAAATGCTTCTCTACAATAAGCATTTTCTATTTCTGTTGCATAGAAATGCACTTGAACTCCATAGAGTGTTCTGAACTCTCTTATTGGCAACATTAATTATTTTCTCTTGATCTTGCTCAGATTGTCCTGTAACCAGGGCTTTGAATTGGGCTTCCAATGCTCTGCCAACAGCCTCCACAACACAGCAAAACTTCCTCCTTCAGGCTGGTATGAAAGGTTACACATCTTCCCAGCTGCCCCTGGTCTGTCATCACTGACACAGAGCCAGACACAAAGGGGAATGGGGACAGAGCTGGGTGGGTGTAGTGGGTTCAGCCTGAAAGAGTTTCTTGCTTCTTTACAGACTGCCTCTCTTTGATCCTACCTACCAGTGCACTCAGTGTTCCTAATTAATGCAGTCTATCACTACAACCACCTCCACAATAAAAATCTTTACTGGTAATAGAACAAATTTTGTGTTCTGAAGGAAGCTCAGTGTATCTGAGGGACAAAGGCTCAGATATTAACAGGAGAGACACAGCTATCTAGATGTACCTTACCTGACACTTTAAAAAATAGGTGTTTATGTATGAACCATATGCACCTATGGTTGCAACTATATAAATCCATTAGAAATGCATCTATGAATCACTTGTTTTTCTGTTTGTCATTTCTACCGCAGGAATGATAACATATCACTTCTCCATCTGAAGAAATTTTTAGCAGACCACCTCTCAACCACGTGAGAAAAAAGTATTTAAAGTGACTAGTAAAACAACTTACAGTTTCTATGCAGTGAGCATTGCCCCTAAAACAGGGGCAATGAATGATCACAAGTTTTGATTGCATAGTGATAGTGTTGAACTACCTAAACCATTTGAATTTATCAAGAAATAAAAAAATCCAGAATTTTGTTTTTTAAATTAATAGAAACAAACAAACAAATGAAATTTGGACATGAAATTAATAGCAGAAAACTGGTTGTTTGAAGATTCACTAGAAACAGATACATCAGCATTCTTCTAATTACATTTTTACAGAGTTGTCACAATAGTGTGGTGGTTTAGATTTTCAAATCAGTAAGGCTACTATTGTATTTTCTGCTTAGTATTTATACCCATCAGAGCACAAATTCATAGTACTTATCCATTTAGTCATTTCATTGCTAACACCAAGAGAAAAAGAACACCTGAAACTTGCAGTTCTTCTCACAATAGATGTATTGTATCCTTAAGAGTACTCAAGCTTTAAGTTCCATCATTGCATTAATCCTTCATTTCTACAACACATTAAAAAGTATTCATTTAATATAATTTGTTATAACTAGTTGGTGTAAAAGCTAAAGTTTAAATACATGCCCCCAAATCATTGAGTACTGCCCAAATCTTTTTATTCTAGTAGGATGTGCATGTATCACTTGAGAAAAATACTAAAAATGTGAAGTAGTCCAGTTATGATGCTTAGTTTTCTATATCAAAAGGAAAATGTAAGCCACTAAAATTAATTCTTCCATCAGAATTATCATGTGATGCCAAGCTCTAAATACAAATAGATGTGATATCATTAAGCTTTTACCATTTATGGTCCTTAAAATCTATATCCTAATCTCAGAACCTGGTGTGTAATACCACAGAATAAATCTACTTAATGAAAACATGCTGAGCTGGAGACAGTCCTCAGAGAGCAGAAAAGGTAAGTCAGCCCAAATATCTGATATAAGACTGATATAAAACTAATAAATAATAATATAAGATTATACTTATATATAAGTCTATATATATAATACATATAATATATATAAGTCTATATATATAGACTTTCTAATATAAGACCAATAAAAATAAGAGTTCTCTTGTGAGATTGGAAAGAATTACACTGGGTCACTTTCAGAGGCATTCTGATGAGTAAGGCGACTTGTCAATGATTTACTTGAATTTTTTACTTTTACTTGCATAGAGTGGTCTAGATTGGCTAGTTGTGATCCTGCTCTGTCCTTCCCAAAAGAGACTGCTCCTGGCTCCCAGCTCCCATTAAATTCATAATACAGAAGAACCCTCTTACAGAATTTTGCCATGTGAGGAGTTAAAAACTCCTATTGCATGGGAACTCTGTGGGAACTGGGAGTTTCCAGACTGTGAAGATGCCCTTGGCCACAGTCCTTGTATTTTGGAACCACAGCTTATGGATCCTTTGTAAGCAAAGAAAAGTTTCCATTTGCACACTGAGTGATACTAAAGTAAAGCTGACACATCTTAAATTAGAATAATACAAATAGCCACATCTCCAAAAGCAAATTCATGAGAAGATGATTACCTTCACACCTTTAACAACCAATTGTTTTCTGACTGAAATACATTTTTGTCACATTATCAGCATCTTTTTAAAATTGCTTTTCATTTTTGGAGTATCCCTTTCATTTTAATTGCAGGTTATATATTGGATTACAGTGACAATATTTGTCATCCTTATTAGTCATTATGAAAATTATTTGTTATTTAGAATAATATGTATTTCCTCTAAAAGGTGAATAAAAGCGAACTATATTTATTAACTGGTAATCTGCATTCAAGAATGAGGTAGTTCCATCTGCTTCAGGCTTGGGTAGATTTACAATTATCATCTGTGAGAACTCAATTCTGTGTGCTCATTTATTTAGAATTTTGGAGGGATGTAGCTTCATCCTTCTCTTTTCTTTAACAAGGTTGATAGAATTTGTAATTACTGATGGTGTCTACCTTCTTTATAATGTGCTGAGCTCATAGAAAATCTAAAAATAAAGAGAAACATGAAATTATAAACACTATTTCCATATAGAGATTAGTATATTTGCTTGATTTAATTTCTTTTAGCTCTTTAAATCTGCAAAGATTCTGCCTCTTCTATGAATTAATGTTTTGAAATGAGTGACCTGTGAATACATGAGGAACAGCCTTTAACCTGACAGGAATAAAGCTTCTGTAATTAGACTAACAAGGGAAAAGAAAAGAAATTTGAATGAAACTCTCTCATTTTCTAACAGGCATGGTTCAGGCAGGTTGTATCCTGTGGATTCCCACTGTCTGTGATTTGACAAGCTGTGGCTCTTGTTGAAGAGACCTCTTCAAAGGAAGCAGCAAATTTCTCATCTTCAGGTGCAGAAGCAACACAAAACCAATTCTAGAACAAGAAGAAAAAAAGTCAGATACAGAAATGAGGTCACTGAGCTGGTTCCAGCATCTCTTTACATCTCAGCAATGTGGCCACAGAAGATTAAGCACCAAATCATACTGCATAATTCTTTACCAGTGTCACCTTATCATTCTATTAATTCATAGTATGAGAGATAATTTTAAACGAATTTCTGTTTCAGCTTTTGTGCAAATGCCAAAGAAAAATAAAAGATGACCTTGAAACTCATTGAAAGTCATGGTTAGGGACTCAGGCCAAGTTAGAAAAAGTGCTTTCTCAGTACTTTTTCCATGAGACTTATACACTGGGAATTATAGATTATTTTCTGAAAAAAATAGTTGTCAGAGGTTTATGTTATGTTTAGGTTTGATACACACACATTCACTTGGCAGAATATATTTACTATTTGGTTTTAAAATAGCCACAACTTAGTTAAGGAATTCCACAGGAAATTTAAATAAATTATAGATTATTTTGTATATTCAACTTCTTTAAAGTTTTCCCCTGGAACATCAAAAATTTTTTTTTTTTTTTTTTTTTTTTTTTTAGGGCAGCTGAAAAGTGGACTTTCCAGAATTATTTGAGATTTTTTTTTTTAATAAATCAAATTTTTTTTCTTATGAGGATTTTCATTTCAGTTGTATTTTCTTATTACTTTAAGTGTATGGGCAAGGACAAAATGAATCATATAAAATTATCCTGGATAAGAAAATAGAAGCTGTCTGTTAGGATTAACTCCTTCATGAAATGCCCATGGTGAAAATTTTTATCAATATACATTTTCAAACTTGATCGCTGCATTTATCCCTAACATCACTTGGATTTCAGGAAAATTTCTTACCTCAGTATAGAATTTTAGCACATGCTGTATTTGTTCTTCATGTCTTTATGCTTCCATTTATTCTAGTAGTGTTAATACTGCCAATATCCTTATCTAATATCCTTATTGTGCTATATATCCCAAGTAGTCGGTAGAGCACATCAAAATCACAGGTATAGGAGCTGATCTGCTGGCAGGACCAATAAAAATTTACTTCTGTTCATGATGTCCTTTTCTTAAAAGGCCTACTTGTGACTTTATTTTATTGCAAAAATTAGTTTAATTCTTACTCATCAACAGAAGGGCAACATGGCAGCTATATTTAATCTTCAGCACTGACAAATACTTAAAAGAGAAATGTCTGACAGCAAAGTGTTGGACATATCAGTCTAAAATACTGAACATTCTAAATGAGAAGTCAGCCCAAGTTTAATTAATTAAGCTCTCAATTTATTGTCTTTATCACATGTTTGTTTCCAAGTCTGTGTATATTCAAGATCTTTATCTAAAAGAGAATATTGTTGTTGCTTTTTTAAAATTAAGTAAAGAGAATACTAATTAAATCTATCTGAAAACTGGGGTGGATGTTTATTAATGCTTTGTGAGCATGTAATCTAGATTTTCAATGAAAAAGAATATTTGGTTTTCAATCAAAGCAAATTTGAATGTTAAATCTAATAACAGTGGTGAAGCAGATCACTGGCTACTGTTAAAAACACTTATGAAATTTGGGCTTTTCCTTGTGATACAGTTTTCAAATTAAAATTTACAATTTTTCAATGAATAATCTCCTTAGACAGACACTGAACTGACACATATGAAAAGAGAAAAATTGTTTTCTTGTCCATGGCACATGCAGCTATAGAGTTAGTGTAATATTCTCATCCTACCAATAAAATTACTGTCTGTTAATAGGGGAGGATGCTTACAGCTGATAGAGTATCTGAGACAGAGTAATTTGTTGCTTTCTCTTTCTGCTAAAATTAGCAGATAAGCTGACAATTAGTGTCATTTAAGTTTCTCTTTCTGTTGGTACAGATGTTTATGACTGTATTTAAATAGTCACTTACACCCTATTTGAAACTGCATTTACAACTGTATACTTATATTAGCCCAGGTGAATCCACTGAAGGGTGAATAGTGATGACAAGAAGAAAATAAAATGTGTATTTACTTCTCTACCTAGACAGACCCACAGTTATTTTTGTGCATTACAATTTGTAGCTCCTTAGACATGTCATAGCATAAATTTTCACCTATTTTTTGAATACATTTAGAAGGTATTATATAAACACGTAGCATTTCAATTGAGGGAAGAGAATTAAGTGACAAAAGCAATAACACACAATGCCTATGATGCAAAATGCACTGCTGTGCTGTGAGTACTTTGCTGTTACAAGGTTATGTCAAAAATCGTCAGCACAACATAATCTTGTCCTCTGAGAATCTTGATGGTTTGGGCTGGGATTGAGCTAATTTTCCTGGTTTTTGTCTGGTATGATGCTATGTTTAGATTGTGTCACCCAAGCAGTGTTGATAAGACAGGGCTCTTTTAGCCACAGCTGAGCAGTGCCTAATCAGCGTCAATTAAGGTCTTTTCCTCATGCTGTACAGCCAGAGAGGATGTTGAGGGATGTGCCATAGGTTAGGAGGGGACATGACCAGGCAGATGACCAGAACTAAGCAAAGAGATATTTCACATCATAAAAAAAAAGGAGGATGTCTGGAGTTATGGAATTTCTATTTCAAAGTCAGTCACCATTATGCATGATGGGGCCCGGCTTTTCTGGGCTGCATAGCCATGGGAGGCAGTGAATCTCCTTCTTTTGCTTTGCTTGCATGTGTAGCATTGGCTTTACCTACTAAATTGCCTTTATCTCATCCCATGAGTTGTCTTGCTTTACCCTCTGTGCTCTCTTCCCCTGGAGCAGCACATCCTGCAGTGATAAGGGCTGTGGGGCAGAGATACATATTGGGGTTAAACCACAACAGGAGCTAACACGTGGGGTTTTTCACTCTGCTAATCCTCAAAGGTGGGTGCTCAGTCTGTATTGAGCCTTTCCATACCTGCAGATGACTCTGTGATCAGTGATGGAAGAAAGAAGCCTCTGTTTATACAAAGGATATCATTATTGTGTGCTGTCCTGAGCATGCTGTCCGAGTTAGCACTCCAGAAACACAGCACCACATTTTTAAAAGTGGTTTGAATGCTGCTAATATGCAACAAATATTGACTAATATTGTCAAAACTGTGCAACTTCTGCACTCTAACACACCTTTTGCCTGTGTTGGGGCAGAAATAGAGTCTCCCCCACCAATTTCCTGTTTTCTTAATAGCATATAATGTTTTAACCTCCACTTCTCTCAATTTTTCTTCCTTTCCCTATCTTAATCACTCTGCATAGTGAAAAGTCCATGTATTAAAAAGGCATGCTGAGGCTTTCTAGCCAAGTCTCCACTCAAATTAACCAGTCTTTCAATTCTAGTATGTACAAAAGAGAATATTGATTTCCCCACTGTCAGTAAGACTTTATTATGTGACATGGGGATGAAACAGATCGTAACATTGACAGCTGCATATTATAAATGGAATTGCTGTGAATAGTGAGAAAAACTAGAAGAAGAATTGTAAATGTCTTTACTTTTGGTTACCTAAACTGTGTCAGTTTATGATATTTAGTAGTCAGATAGCTTGTTAAAAAAATCAATTAATATTCACAAGAATTCCAATTATACTTAGTTTAAAGAAAGCATAAGAAATCTAAGCATCTTTCAGGGATTGCTTTGGATGCTGTGGCATATGCTACTATCATTTTGCTTTTCAAGTACCATATTTACCTGCCCATGTCCTGCATATGCCCTAAAAGTAAAATTCCATGAGTCTTTCTCGATCAACAAGTAGATTATCCTGCAACAATCAAATTATCTTCCTGGACTCAAAACTAGAGAGATTTTCTCTTCTTTCATCCACCTGTGAATATTTATTATTCTACTAGGTGAGTCTAACAAAAGTCTGATTTAAAACCCATTCAACTCAAATGAGGCTTTCAGATCATTTTAATGGGATTTGATGCTGACCCTAGGACTTTATGTCAGTAGACATTACTGAGAGCTGTAAGCATCCTGAAGAGATAGGCAGTGAAAACAAAGGAGCAGAGCTGAGTTTGCCTGTATAAAAAACTGGATGTTCCTGGTTTCACTAAGAGGTTTTTGTTTAGCTGCTACATCCGCTGATGCTGACTTTGGTATCTTACTCACAGGATGTCAGAACTCTGCTTATTTCTGTGTCTTTTATTAGCCTGCATTCTCTTTGATACCCACAAGAAAAGTTAAGATTATACTGTGCTGTAAACATCAGAGTGATAGTTGCTGGAGTAGCTGTCTAAGTTGTGGTTTGAAGATCCTTCCCCAAAATAATGGGAGAATATATCTAGCAGAAGTTTACAAAAAAACTCTAGAAAAATAACTATTGAAGCAAAGTATGTACTTTTTAAATACATATATATGTGTGTGCAAGCTGAAAAGCTCCAGAAGTTTATTATTGTTCATATATGAGCACATAAAATAATATATAGGCATTTAAATATTCTCAGTGTCCAAATAGAAACCAGTAATGCATGTTACATCAGGTCCAAATGAGTGTCATGGAGATCCCCACAGGTCTGAAATATTTCTCCTGCTAAGAAAGTATGAGGGAGTTGAAATTTAGTCTGAAAAAGGGAAAACTCCAGAAGGATCTTATTGTGGCCCTTCAGTACTTAAAGGGGCTTATAAGCAACACCAGTAAATACATTTTCTCAGGGCCTGTAGGATTCTGTGTATTTATAATATTCCCTGAACTATGGCTCTGTATGTATGAGAAAATATGAATATAAGTAGAAGTAGATTTAAAAAAATATTTTAAGATGCAAATCTTGCATTTGTTCTTTGGTACAATTTAGAGCAAAAGACATAATTAGACTGGAATTAAGGATTGTCAAAGTTTGTTGTTAAATTTATGTTTACTCTAATTATTTTAATAATATTCAAGATAATTTTAAAGCAGAAGAACTAGAAAGTCTGTCAAAATAAATTTAAGTATGATCAACAAATACATAACATTAACACAAATAATTTCAGTCCTGCATTTTTGAATTTATTATTTCCTGTTAAATTTGAGATGTATAAATATTTCTTCCTTCTATTGCTACTGAAAGATGGAGCTAAAGTGGCTTATGTGGTCTAAATATCTTATTATATCAAATGATAATATGATGTATTTTCATTTATAAGTAATTAAAGGCCTGAACAAAAATTTACCAAAAAAAAAGTGTTAAAAATGGGGGATTGGGGTTGCACAATATCTCTGTAATATGGGCAGACATCAAATTG